ATATATATATATATATATATATGTCATGACTTTTCCAGTGACTCAGTAGTCGTCTTTAACACAGCGACTATAATCAATAATCATCTACTGTATGTATCAAAATAACTAAAAGAGGATTTCGAATGCTCCCAACACAAAGTAATGCTACATGGAAGATGATGAATATGGTAATAACCCCGACTTAATCATTATACATTATATCCATATACTGAAAAACCACACTAAATAATTATGTATAATTATGATGTATCAGTTAAAAATAATAATAGAAATAAGAGGGTGGAAATAAAGAATGTCTCCAATTGCCTCTAATGCTGCCTCACAACCCAGTATGTTTAATAACACATCCTAGATAGGACACCTTTACCACAAGGAATTTCTACCTCTTATCTAACCAAAATTGCTTTTGTTGTCTTATATATCGCCGTCAACAAACTTTTTCTGTCGAGGGCTCCATGGTAAATATTGTAAGTTTTGTGGGCTGCTTGGTCACAGCTACCCACCCAGCTCTGCCCTTGGAGCACAAAACCATGTAAATGGGGCCATGTAAATGGGGCCATGTAAATGGATGCAGCTGTGTTCCAATAATGTACACACGCAGGTAGCAGGCGCTGCACTGTGGTTTGCAGATTCCTGATACAAATTAGTTTTTTACTTTCAGTTCTGTGGAAAAGAAGTATTAAGAATCTTCCCTTGGAAGACTTTAAGACAACTCCCCCAAGTCTTGTTTTGCTTCAGAATCTGATGAAGTTTTTGTTTTTAATTAGTGTTACTTTTCTTTCTCCTTCTCAAGTTCTCCTATACTGGGTTGGTTCAAATTGTTCCCAAGACCTGCCACATGAAAACTACTCCAACCTCTGCTCAGGTAGACTGACAGTGGGAATCAGGGACAGAGAGTCAGACACGCACGCAAGGAAAGAGAGTCAGACACGACCGTAACCGTTCTGAAGTTCAGTATAATAGATGTTAAGGGACGGGGACAAAAGGTTGGCGAGGGACTGCCAATCCCTGTTACCTGCTCAGGAGACTGTCCCATGGGAGCTTCACGACTGTGTGTTGTTCATTTTTCTCTAAGAGGCAGTCACACAGGATGGGATCCAATTTGACAAGACTAAAGGGAAAGAAGAGACAGTAGGAAATCCTAGACTCGCCCCTTCTGATGCAAGGGCCAACTCAGGGTTCATCTCTTGTCCTTCTTTTAGGCATGCAGGATCAAAATCAACTATGGGGCCACAATCCATTAGGCAACCCCTGGATGGGAGATACAAATATGCTTTCTGAGGAGGAGGGAAGGATCCTGAGAAGAGAATGGAGGAAAAGGGATTCTGGCATGGCCGTCCCCCTGGAGGGGGGGGCAACTTCTGACTTTCTGTCTCTCCAGGGAGCTCATGTACCCTATAGCAAAAATCTCTCTAAAAAGAAAAGAAAAAAAAAAGTTTAAAAAAAATTAATGGGGACTCTTTACCTGTCGGTTTACTATCTATATCCACTTACTAAGAAAAGAATACCAAAATCTATGATGGCTTCAGTAAGATATTTCTAAAGCTGGCATGATATTCCCCACGACAGCCATCTGCATCGAGAGGCCAGTGGTGGACAGAGGGACAGTAACATTTACTGAGTCTCCAGTCAAAATGGACAGCATTTGGGGATCTGAGCAGCCTGGACGGTAACTCTGGGTATCCACAGCCCACGGGCTGAAACCCACAGGTCTGGATTAGTTACAAGATGCTGTGATTCTCTATGCGCTTCCCCAGCTTCCTCCCCAACGTGGCTGTCTGCTTACAACAAACCCCTGGCAGGACGCATCCTGGCCTCTTCGGCCACTCACTTTTTGTTGTTCGCATCAACCAGGTCATTGTTCTTGGCATAGTTAATGACGATGGTTCGGACCTCATTGCCCTCGAGAATGCTCCCCTTCCTGGGGGAGGAGAAGTGACCGGGGGGTTAGTGCGTGCCATGCGGGACACAGCTGCCGACACCTAGACGCACTGCCTGCTCGGCAGGGTGCATTCCTCGGCTTTCCATCTCTACGTTCTTCCCTTTTCCTGACTGAGGCAAGCATGACCGTGTGAAGAGTGATTATAGGTAAGTTCATTTAGTCCAGAGAAACTTCCCCAAGAAAGGAGGCTTAAAGCTAGATTTAAGGGAAAGAGAG